GCTGGCGACACCCCACTAATTCTCCTCGGGCAAAAATGCACGTATAAGCTCAGCACTCACATGGCCACAGGCTTGTCCCGCCTCTTGCGGCGTGTTCACACGGACGCGCTGGTTCATGGGCATCGTCAGCCGTACTCTCACCCAGCGGGGATCGTGTGCCACAGACACACACAGCCCTCTCGGCAAAGAAGAAGCACCGACAAGACCTTCTGAGCCAGGCGACCCTTGTACAGTTCTGACGACACACCCAGATCCCCAGTTGGGCAGTTTGAAAACGGGGCTCCAAAATTCTTTGTTCCCTCCTTTGAAATCCAAGTGGGCTTGTGACGGCTTCGACCCATTGGGGGCACAGCGTTGGCACTGCGCGACTTTGGAAACTGGGGCCCTGGGACACCGGCCCTGGGAGCACTGAGCCTCTAAGAAGTCCAACTACCTGGATGCTGCCATGCTGTGAAGACGCCCAAGGTACAGAGAGGCCACGTGTGGACACGCCAGTGGGTGGCCCTCACCTTGAAGTTGTCCAGCACTGTTTCCAGAACACGCCTTCAGACGATTGCGGCTCCTAGCCGTCAAATCTTTCCAGCTGAGGCTCCGGACACTGGGGAGCAGAGACAAGCCATCCCTTCCGTTTCCAGGCTGGATTCCTGACCCACAAATTCCAGGAGTATAGTAAACAGATGCTTTTCAGGTGCAAAGTTCTGGAGTGAATTGTTATGCACCAATAATAATAGGAACGATAGATTAAACTATTAAGTGATAATTATACACTTTAAGTACTCTGCATGTATTATCTCACTGTTAACCCTCACAACTGCTTAATGAAATAGCAACTGTTGCCATTTGCTCCCATTTTATGAATGAGGAAACTGAGACAAAGGGAGGTAACGTAAGTTGCTTGCATAATAAGTAAGATCTGTAGTGCTCAAAGGCACACACCGGTACGTAGCTGGCAGTCAAGCCCACTTATGAGGAAATCAGGCTCTTCTCCATCACACTCTATTGCCTTTCCGGGATGGAGAAGAGCCCAAGGAGGCCTCGTGGCCATTGTCACATGACAATTCCTCCTTCATCTGTGAGTACCTAGAATTGTCACCTGGGTGTCACTGAGCCCTCTTGCTCAACTATAGACCCCAACAGTTAAAGCCAGAAATAGACAAGACCCCTTCACTCATGCTCTAACTAAAACCCATTGTTCTTATTTCTTATTGCACTTTCTTGCGTTGATGAAGATGTTTTGCAATGACCGGAACATTCCAATCGCCAGGTCAGAAAAGCCCTGATAGCCAAGGAATGCCTAGAAGACCACATCCCCTTCTCTGCCTGTGACCATGTGCTGAATACATACCGACCCCCACTCAGGATCACATGCTCCCTGCCAGGTGTCTTGCAGTAGCCCCCTGAACCTCTCCTTATAAAACCCTAGGTGTCTATCTTGTGGGAGGAGAGGTCAGTTGTTAAGGTTTGAGCCTACCACCTCCCCCGGCTGCCCGCACCCCAAATAAATTTCTCCCTTTCGCTTTTCCAAACCCTCACCTCTTGAGTTATTGGCTTCTCTTGCGACGAGTTAATCTGCGTTTGTTTGACAGCAGTGTTGGCAGACGCAGCCAGGAGCTATGCTTCCGATCTGTCCAGCCCTTACAGGATCCTCGGGTTGGAACAGTGGACCAGGGCAATGCTCACCCCTTGGTCTCCTGAGTTAGTGGCTATGATAGATTGGTGACATAGGGGCCTAGTACAGCAAGGCCTGGACTGTTCCATTCCAATGAGATAACCTATAGAATTTATATGATAGAAAGGGCATGAAGTCCCTAGATGTTCTTTGATCTCTGTGGCTCACATTAAAGTCATGAGGATGTGTGTAGGCTTGCTGCCGGGTTCTGTCTCTCCCAGAGAATAGAGAATCCCTCTTCATTTGTTGGCCCAAGTGAGAAAGGAAATGATCTAATGGGTCCTTTCAGTAAGCATCTTCAAAAATGGCTTCCCGTGAAGGTGGGCAGGACCAACTAGCTCCATTTCCAATGCAGCAAAAGTGATGAATGTCATCTCAGAGATTAGGTTGTAAAAGATGGTGATTTCAATCTTGCTCACCCTCTTCTGATCGGTCACTCACCCTCTCTGATGAAGCCACCTGCCACGTTGTGAGCTGCCCAATGGAGAGGCCCAAATGGCAAGAACTGAGGGTGGCCTCCAGGAACAGCCACTGAGGAACTAAATCCTGCCAATACTTAAATGGTCATACAAACCAACAAAAAAGGGAAGTCTGTGACAATGCCAAAAAGGGACATCAGAACTCATCAAAGTTGGGTTTTCTCTCCTCTGAGAAGTCAGGGGGGGCCTCCCTGAGGAAGTGACATTTGAGCTGAGCACACAGAGAAGCCTGGATGGATTTAGGCAACAAAGGGAGGGAAAAGCACTTCTGTTATGGCAAACAGCAGGTGCAAAGGCCCTATCACAAGAGGGAGCCTGGTAAGAATGAGAGACTGTGAGAAGGCAAATGTGTTTGAAGATCAGAGAGCAAATGGGAGCTTGACAGGAGATGAGCCTAGAAGAAGGACAAAAGGATCCCACGCAGGACCTCGTGGGTCTTTAATCCTAAGCACAATGGGGAGCCACTGAAAAGTTTTAAACTAGGTTTTTCTACAGTAGAAGCCAGAACCAATCTGACCACAGAGAGCCTGGGACTTGTAAATATGTTTGCACAGTGGATTTTCCAAAGGAGGGGTTCAGACAGATTTGGTAACCATGGAGATGGCTATGTGGCCACTAACAATTATGATAATGAAGCCACAAACTTGGGAAGCTGGGCATTGTAAATAGAATTGGTTCTGGGTGAGCTCTGAGTAGTCTGGGCTGATGAAAGGTGCTGGAAACCACATTGTGTCCACACAAAGAGTCTGATGCCTGAAAAGGTGGCTTGCCCTGTGTGTGAATGGAATGCAGGGGCTGCAGAGCTGAGGGTTGGTGTCATAGCAACCCTTGGACGAAAGGGCCTTTCTTCAGCGTTTCAAACAGGGTCCCTGATGAGGGAAGGAAAACGAGCATACGAAGAGTGTCTGCCATCCCCCAGACACCCTCATGAGTAACATCTTAATATTTAGTCTTAATAAGCAATTATCACAGTAGAACTGATCATCCTCATTTTGAGGATGATGAATCTGAACCTTAAAGAAATGATGCTTGTTGCTGCATCACACAGTGCATCAGGTACTTGTGGATGCCTCCCCAGTGACTATGCCTAGCTCCCTTCCTCCTTGCTTCTAGAGCAGGTCTCTGCCTGTACAGGTCAAAAATGCCAGATCCTCACTTTTCCAACTTCCTCGGCAGCTAGAGCAAAGATGCGTGGGCCAGGAGGAAGCCTGGTGGGAGAGGAGGGATGTCCAGCAAGGGTTTTTTCCCCAAATAAAGAGAAGTGTATAGGATGTAGCCCCTCTCTTCTTTGGCCAGATGTTTTTGTGTCCTCATATCATGTGTGGAACTTTGGTGGCCATCTTGTGACCATAAGATGACAAGGAACAAAGCTGAGGCTGGTGACGGGCATGAATACAAACATGAAGGTAGAAAGATGGAAAGACCCTGGGTCCTTAAAATCATAAAGTGACTGAAGGACACCTGGGACCCCTTACTTCTTAAAATTTTGTTCTGTTGGATAATAAATGAACTTATTGTTTATCCTAAACAAGCCATTTAGTTGACAAATCTGCTACTTGCAGCTTAAAATATCAAAACTTTTGGCAGGCTACTAATTGCCCCGTTATAATTCCTCCCCTACTTCCTTTTAGTAATATTTTCTCAAAGTTGTAGCTGAGTTCATGGCTGCCCTGCTAGAGAATAGGTTTTCCAGCTTCCTTTTTAGCTTCATGGGCCATGTTACTGAGTTCTGACCAATAGGTTGTGAGTGGAAGTGATGTGTGGAACTTTGGATCAAGTTCTTAGCTGCCTGTCCCCACCCTGATCCCTCTTCTTGCCAGTTGGAGCAGGGGAGCAACAGGAATAGACTCAGAGAAGGTAGCAACCAGTTGAGGATGCCAGATCTATACTTTTACATAAGAAAGAAAGATCTCTCATAATTAAGCCACTATTTTTAGGTCACTTTGTTATAGCAGCTTATCCTGTACCCTAACACAATCACCAAACACCCAGCCATTCAGTGGTGGTACAAGTCAGGGTTCTTGCTGTAAGTCACACAAACCGCCTTGCGCCTGTGTCTGAGCACTGGTAGCCAAGACATGGGGTAACGGAGGGTCTTCCACAGCGCAATGTGGCTCTGGTGTAGCCCTGGGGCACCGCACTATGGGGAGTGGTTGGATGCTGGGAGTCTACTTATAATAGATATTGTATTAAGCCCTTCATAAATAATAATAGCTTTCATCTACGGAATGCTTATCATATGCCTGGCATGGTTCTATGTGTTTTACCCCTAGTTACTCATTTAATCTTCACAAAACCTCCGGGATGGATATTATTTACAATCTTATTTTGTAGATGAGAACGGAAAGCACAGAGACTTGCTCTTTCCCAAACATGCCAAGCACACTTCTCCCCCAGGGCCTTTGCACTCGCTATTCCTTCTGCCTGGAATGCTCTTCTTCCAGGCATCCACTCACAAGGCTCAAACGTCACCTGTTCTTAGAAAGAAGCCTTTTCTTTTCACAGAAGCCTTCTTAACCACCTTATTTAAAATTGGACCACTACCTACACCCCGCCGCCACTCTACCACCCACAGGGTGACCATATAATTTACCATACAAACTAGAACGCTTTCAAGAGTAAAAAGGGGATACCATCAGTAAACTATTTCCGGAAGGAGCCAAAGAAGGGAGGCGGGGCTACCAAAGCGGACCAAGAGACTCAGAGCTTCCGGAGAGAGCCCAGGAGCGTGAAGAGTTTCTGACCGAGAGTTGCCGAAGGCTTACGGAAATAGCCGAAGGTGTGGGAGGCGGGGCCACTTCCACAGGCGGAAGTGTCGGCCTTGGAGTGGTGGAAGAGGTCCGAAGACTTACGGAGCGAGCCGAACATCGCCGGCAGTTTCCGGAGAGAGCCGACGGGCTCCGAGCGACGGCGCCGAGGCTCTGTCATGGCGGTCGCCGGTAACGCTTCTTCGGCCGACAAGAACGAGCAGCTGGCGCCGGAGGCCGAGGCGCTGGTCGCGGCCCGGGAGCGGAGCAGCCGCTTCTTGAGCGGCCTGGAGCTGGTGAAGCAGGGCGCCGAGGCGCGCGTGTTCCGCGGCCGCTTTCAGGGCCGCGCGGCCGTGGTGAAGCACCGCTTCCCCAAGGGCTACCGGCACCCGGCGCTGGAGGCGCGGCTCGGCCGGCGGCGGACGGTGCAAGAGGCCCGGGCGCTGCTCCGCTGCCGTCGCGCAGGTGAGGCGGCCCGGCCCGGGGGCCTAGGGGACCCGGGCGACGCGAGCGAGGGTCTCCCCTGAGCGCCGCGCCCCGTTTTGCCTCAGTCTCTCCCTTTGTACCCTCTGCGTGAACTTCTGCTGAGAAATGTCATCCTTTCATCTCTCTTCATTCATTCTTTCATTCTTAAGGAGCTGCGTTTCCTAGCCGCGACGAGCATTTGTCCTGGAGCCCTTGCTCCTGGTTTCAGTTCCTGGCTCTTCCACTGTTGCTCGACGGGGGGCATGCTATTAAACTGCCCCGAGCCTCGGTTTCCCCATTTGTACCGTCTCAGTGTTCGATCATTATCTCTTCATTCATTACTTTTAAGAAGCAGATGTAATTACAGATACTTGCCGTGGAGCCAGGCTCTCAGCGTTCAAATAACCGACACCACTGCTTCATATGCAGGCTTTCAACAAATTATTTACCCTCGCCCTCAGTTTCCTCACCGATAAAAGGAAGTCACAGTATGTTTGGATGTATGGCTGGTACATAGCACTCAGTACATTTTTGATTTCATTAAATCGTTTCTTAACTTTTTCATTAAAACACCATTGTACACTACCACGGTATGCCTTGGCCTCAGATGAGAAACTGAGGCTTAGAGAGGGGAAGTAACTGCCCAAGTTTACACAGCTTAGTGAGTGACCCAGCCAGGTTCTCAGCCCGTAACCTCTGACTCAGAAACACTGGCTTTTGACTTTTACACATCCTTTCTTTTATTAATATTCTTTAGGCACTTGCTTTACACCAGAACATTGTTAGGTAGTGGGAGGGCTGGAAGAAATTTCAGTAGCGAACAGACATATCTCTACCCTTGCGTGGATTTAATGGTTATTTGTGTGTTCCTGTTTTCTATTTTAACCCTCTCTAGGATGTAAGTTCCATTAAGGAGGGATCATAGTTGCTTTGTTTCCTGCTGTATCCTCACTGATAAGTCTCCAGTATCTAGAAAAGTGTGCTGGGCCTGATGATCATTCAATAAATATTCATTGAATCTTTGAATGCAACGAATTCTTTGAATTCTTGGAGGGATCATTCTCATGTTCTAGAATCAGAAACAGGCTTAGAGAATTGATGTGATTTTTAGGTTATACAACTAATAAGGAAGGGAGCCAGGATTTGAACCCATCCTTTCTGACTGCAAAGGTGAAGCTCTCAGCCAACACTCTGTTTGGCCTGTTTGTGTCTTTTTTTTTTTTTTAAGATTTTATTTATTTATTTGACAGAGAGACACACAGCGAGACAGGAAACAGAAGCAGGGGGAGTGGGAGAGGGAGAAGCAGGCTTCCCACTGAGCAGGGAGCCCCATGCGGGGCTCGATCCCAGGACCCTGGGATCATGACCTGAACCCAAGGCAGACTTAACGACTGAGCCACCCAGGTGCCCCTGTTTGTGTCCTTTTGAGGATGCTTACCCTTCTGGCTCTTTGTTTTGTTTTTTTTTTAGGGAATTAGTGTGACAAATGAAATCCAGTCATAAAGAGTGGAGAGGAGGAGGGTGCTTTGGCACTACTAAACTTAGCTGTGGGGCGGCTTAAGGCACAATCCTGCAGGGCATGAGCAAGGGACACTTCCAGACGAGTTAAGTTGTACTATTCTGCAACATTCCTAAATCTTTTTTTCTGAAATGAGCAGATATGCACTGTGAAAGTCTGGCTCAATCTTTGAAAATTAAACTTAACATTAAGAAAGAATCTAATCCAATAACCATTTCTATCTTGATTGCAGGGATATCTGCCCCCGTTGTTTTTTTCGTAGACTATGTTTCCAACTGCTTATACATGGAAGAGATTGAAGGCTCAGTGACCGTTCGAGATTATATTCAGTCCACCATGGAGACTGAAAAAACTCCCCAAAGCCTCTTTGGCTTAGCCAGGACAGTTGGGCAGGTTTTGGCTCGAATGCACGATGAAGACCTCATTCATGGTGATCTCACCACTTCAAACATGCTCCTGAAACCCCCCGTGGAACAGCTGAACATCGTGCTCATCGACTTTGGACTCAGTTTCATTTCAGCACTTCCGGAAGATAAGGGAGTCGATCTCTATGTGCTAGAGAAAGCCTTCCTCAGTACCCATCCCAATACTGAGACTGTGTTTGAAGCCTGTCTGAACAGCTACTCCACCTTCTCCAAAAAGTCCAGGCCAGTGCTAAAAAAATTAGATGAAGTGCGCCTGAGAGGAAGAAAGAGGTCCATGGTAGGGTAGAAGAGTCTGTTCGACAAGTACAGACATTTAGGCCATTTATGTGAAAGTGAATTTGAAGGATGCTCCAAGTATGGGATTAGACCTAAATAAAGGTGTTGAGATGTTTTTAAGCACTGTCTGTGATCATGCTTGTTAAGTGTCATTATCATGTGCAGTTGACTGTTCTCGCCAGCTTACTGTGTACAGAAGACATACTCTAGGCAGAACTGGGTATCTGACAGAAATCCAGGACAGACTTTCTCCAGCTGCGCCATGTGTACGTTGGGTATGTGGGCATGGCATTGCAGAACATTGAACCACACAGTGACAACGTTGTTTGCTTTTCAGTCTTTCGGGTGAGAAGAGGACAAAGTCGCAGTTGGTGACGGGTATCTCTATCAACCCGCCAATCCCGCATTTTTTTTGTTGTGTACATGGCATGGTCCTCTGGAAACCAATGTAGTGGGATGCAGCCAGCATTTTAAAAATGAAGTAGATTCATAGACTAGGGAATATCAGAGTGCATGACACGTAAGTACTGTTTTAACTGTTTCAAAGGTATATATAGACAAGGGTATATACTGAGTTTTGATGTAAAATATATTTCTTTTTGAGGGTCATAGTACAAAAAGAGGAAAAATACTGCTTAACTCCAATTAGTCTTGTTAAAAAAAAAAAGCAGGCTCATAGCTTTCAGGCAGCTGAAATTTATATAATTTTATACAGCACTGTTTTTATTTTCGGTCTGTATTTTTATGGTTACCTTCTAATTAAGACATGGGATCGATATAAAGTTCCTTTTAATTTATGTAAGTAAAAAAGTGAGTTGATTTATATCACAGGTAATAACTACATAGAACAAAAGAGGTGACGTGGCTTGGGAAGGACTGAAGTTTGATAAAGCCTGGTTTAAGGGGAGTGGCAGGAAAACTGAGCGAAGATGCAAAATGCCACTAACTAGCTTACACTTAAAACCCTGCCCAGCCTCAGTTTCTTCCCCAGAGGTGTGTGGCTGTGGAGAAGTATAATAAAGTACCTTTCCTCCTTGCCAGCTCCAGCTAGCAAATAAATATTTTGAGTGCCTTATGTGTGGCCGGTATCTTATGGGATACTGGGGTGCGCAGGGAGTGAGCATTCCCATGGGTCCAGGACTGTTTCCTTCCCCATAGTCAGCCCTGTACCTGTGGCAGATGCCCAGGGCTGAATGAAAACTTCCCTTCCTGGGTAGTGGTGACTAGTAGAGAGGAGAGTTAGTATCATTGCCTGTTTACTACTTGTCAGATACTGTGCCGGGAGTGTTCATACTGGATCTAAAACAACTCTAAGTTGGGTATTATCCCCAGTTTGTGGATGGAGAAATGGGCCCAGAAAGGGGGGAACTTGTCCAAGATGTCACAGGTAGCAGAGGGTACTTGTACTTGGCTCCCAAGCCCAAGTGCTCTTCAGTGATACTTTAAGAAATGAGATGCTGGGTATGGTATTTTTATATTATTTTATATATTTATGTTATATTTATTGCTTATATTTTTATCTTTATATTATTATAATATGTATTGGCATTATATAACATTTTCAACAAACTTCAGGGGCCCTAGGGGCTGGCAATAATTTTTTCAATTATTTCAATCAGTGAGAGGGCTCATTCCCATTTCCTCACTAGTACTGTAAGGCTCATCTCTGCCTTGGGGTGGGGGGAGGGAATGACTGGTTGGCGCATGTGTGCGCGGCCAGTGGGTCAGCACGTACCTAGTGCTCACTGTGTGCCGGGCACCGGAGCTACAGAGGGGACATGAGGCTGGCCTTACTCTCCTAGGAAACAAACTGATGTTGGGACTGCTGTGTGACGGAGAACCGGGGGTGGGGGTGGGGGGGGTGTTCCAGGCAGAACCGCCATCAGGGACAAGGTTGGTGAAGGAGGGGCATCCTTGGGCCACAAGGTGGCCGGTGTGCAGCGAGCAGAGCAGAGCGGAGGAGGAGCAGGAAGTGAGATCGGAGAGGAGGGTAAGGACCAGATCACGCAGGGCCTAGTAACCGGCCTGGGTTTTGTTCTCAGTGCGACCCAGAGGGTTTTAAACAGGGAGGCATCTCATGTTTTGAAAGGATTACATCGGTAGGAAAAGGGCTAAAGGGGGCAAGAGGGGAAGCGAGAAACCAGGGAGGAGGCTTTGCCGCTGGCCAGGTCGGTGATAGCGGTAGCCTGGGGTGGAGGCCCCGGCGCAGGTGCTGCCAACCGCTTGGCCCCCTGGAGCGTGTGACATGGTGGCCATTGGCCGTGGAGGCAGGAGCAGTAGACGAGTTAAAGTGATCTTTGCAAGCTTCGAGGGAGAGGGGGCTACTGGAGAACGGTCCGGACCGTCTGTGTACTCATCCCGGGGCCGCGATGGGAAATAAGGCATTATCAAACATTCTGAGGCGAGCAGTGGATTCCGTCCCTGGTTCAGCATCTCACAAAGGGCTAAGCAACCCTCTGCAATTCCAGATTCCTCCAAGTCCTCGTGGGGACAGCCAGCACTTTGCAGCCGTGAG